AATAAGTTTAATAGAGAAATTTAAATTTATTCTAATAACATTTCCAATACTAAACTATTATATTTAATTAAAATATTCGACTAAATATTAAAAATTAAAATTTTCTCAAACAAAAGTGAACAATGTCAACAACATCATCCTAATAATTACCTCGTGTCGACGATAAAAATTCGAATTTAAAAATTGAATCAGTCGAAATATGACATTTATATTATTATTACTAAAGATTTGCAATTCAAATGATCAAATTGAAATTTTTTCACTTTTCCAAATTTAATTGCATTTAAATAATTACAACCTTATCTTCTTTTTCTTCTTTTTTTTTTTTTTTTTCAGGCGACAGGTGCATCAATACAAGTAGCAAGCGAAATGCTTCCAAGTTCAACCGAACGTGCTGTGACAATTTCTGGAAGTGCTGATTCTATCGTAGATTGCATGCGAAATATATGTCAAATTTTATTAGAAGTTAGAAATTTAAATTAATTTCTTTTCTGAAATCTGAATTCGATAAAAAATTTTTCAAACTTTCTAAAAAAAACAACTCATAAACATATATATCAAATTGTTCCAAAGCTTTAAAAAAATTATTTTTAAATTTATTTTTAGAAAATATTTCGAAATACGCAATTTGACATATACATACATGCATTCATGCAATAGCAATATGCATGCATTCATGCAACAACAATATACATGCATTCATGCAATAACAATATATGTATACATGCATTCATGCAATAGCAATATGCATGCATTCATGCAACAACAATATCATATCAAATTTCTCATAAAATAAAACATTTTCAATTTTATTAAATGAATTCAATTAATAAATTTTTTTTTCTTTTTGCTATCATTTTCATCAGCCTTTCCTATTGTTTCAATTTTTCTGAATATGCAAAAAAACAAAAAAAAAAAGAAGAGTAAATGCTACTAGAAGTTATCCTAAGAAATGACTAATTAAAAACAAAATGATTTAATTAATACAGGGTTAAAGGTTAAGTTTTTTTTTTTGTAACATATCTAAAAGTGGAACTTTTCCATTCAGTCAATGTAAGAATGTTTGTAGAAATCATGGCTTGTCCTTTTTTTTTTTTTTGTTGCAGGCACCAGCAAAAGGTAATACATTACCTTATCGTCCCAAACCAACCTTTAATCCAACCTTATTAGCTAACTCAGCTGCAGCTGCAGCAGCTTCATTGCTACAACAACAACAGCAACAGCAACAACAACAACAACAACAACAACAACAACCTTATCCAACATTAATTAACCCCTTGGATGTTAGTTTCTTATCTTTCATTTATTTAATTTTTGTAAAAACTTTTTCTTTCAAAATTTCAATTTTTTTTTCAGCAAAGTTTCTTTCTTCAACTTTTCATGTTTTATTTAAATTTCATTAAAATGCTAAACTTCCCGACGAAAATAAACACACTCTTACCTCTTTGTTTTTTCTCATAGTACTAAAAAAAAAATTTCATTAATTTTTGTTTTTTTTTCTTTTTTAAATCATCCATTTATCATATATACACTATGTTTTGTCATTATATATGTCCGTTCCTAATTAATTGTCAAATTAATTACCTGCAAATTGCGACAATTCTCCTTTGGGCGCTTATTTCATTTGTTTTGCTTGTTTGTTTGTTTGTTTGTTTGTTTGTTTGTTTTTCAAAAGTAATTTTTCAAACAAGTAATAGAAAAAGAAAAAGAAAGTAAGAAAAAAAAAGAAAGAATTCTCCATTTGTTTTTTTTTTTATTGCATGCTGCTTTAAAAAATTTATCCCTATCATTTTTCTTCAAAATCAATCAATCAATATTTCGTATCAAATATTATTATCGTTTTGTAATTATGTT